CAACACAGACCCGACGGGACATAATAAATTAATCATAACATGGCCATTCCACTGCATCCAGATCTGCTTTTTTGTACCTTCTACCAAAACAAAAAACAAAAAAACAAAAAAAAACAGCCCAGGTGCAACGCAAGAGCATTGAATTATGCTTGATTTATGAGCGGTTCGCAGAACACAGTTGCTTATATTGACATTTCATGGCCCCAAATGTCCTCATCTTGTTTGCTTCCTTCCTTTCTACAATTTATCCAACTGCCCAAGTAACAAACTGAAACTCTTGGAGTAACTGTACTTCAAACAATGCAGCTAGGGAACAAACAATATATCCAGGACACATTTATCGATGCGTTGGAGGGGAAACTTGGTTTTTAAGGACTTACGGAAGGCCTACAGAATTGAGACCCTCCAAATCTTGTTCCAAAGGACAGATGCCACAACAGAGAAGGCATAGAATTCTATGAGTTCTATACCAGGTGGTATTATTTCATTGTCATGCCCCTGTCAGAGTCTGAATCTGAGGAGGAAGATGAACAGCTGACAAGAGAGTGGGAGTGTGGCTCCCTTGGCTGTGGAGGATACTGGAGAAGGGCAAAGTCTGGCTGGGCAGAGCAGGGGAGAGGTAGAACAAGGGAGAGGGAGTGCAGAGGAAGACCCAGGCCCACCCCCTCTTCATCCTAGGGCACGCAGGGAAGAATGGAGAAGAGAGCAATGTGGGTTGCATGGCTTACGGGGGAGGAAAGGGCCCTGATTCCCTTCATTAGCCACAACTGGAATGAAAGTTTAAAAGAACTGAATGCTGACTATGGCAGCTGCTGGGAGCAAACATGACTTTATCCTGTGTTGTCTTTGCTTATCTGTGTTCCTGGCATCTTCCCAACCGTGAGTTTTGCCGTGCCTTCATGTCTGGAATTCTTGCTCCTGCCCTGCCAAACTAATTACCTCAGTTTGGCTTGATTGGATTTATAGTTACAGTTTGTGTTGACCATGTTTTGGACTTAATTCTCTGCAGTCAAAGGCTGTTCCTGGGAAAGTTCTTCTCTAGCCAGAAGGTAACGAGTGGAGTTGAGATGAATGTGAAATGGGCAACTCTGAATAAATAAATAGAACAAATAAATAAATGAGTTACTTTTCTCCCAGGTTTAAAACAATGAGGGAAACAATGAGGTTGGAGTCTACTGATTGTAATGTTTTTAATATATTAGGAATGTTGCTTTAAGGTTTTGGGGGCTGTTTACTTATCCAAATATTATTATTATTTATGTTCTTATCTCTGCTGCTGTGTATCACCCAAAGTTAGGACACATAAGATCGGTAGCCATATACAGGTGAAACTCGAAAAATTAGAATATCATGCAAAAGTTCATTTATTTCAGTAATGCAACTTAAAAGGTGAAATATATGAGATAGATTAATTACATGCAAAGCAAGATAGTTCAAGCTATGATTTGTCATAATTGAGATAATTATGGCTTACAGCTCATGAAAACCCCAAATCCACAATCTCAGAAAATTAGAATATCTTTTGCAGCAATTACTGCCTCAATGAGGCGTGGCATGGAAGCTATCAGCCTGTGGCACTGCTGAGGTGTTATGGGTGCTTCAATAGTGGCCTTCAGCTCTTCCGCATTGTTCGGTCTCATGTCTCTCATCTTTTTCTTGGCAATGCCCCATAGATTCTCTATGGAGTTCAGATCAGGCGAGTTTGCTGGCCAATCAAGCACAGTAATCCCACAGTCATTGAACCGGGTTTTGGTGGGCAGGTGCCAAGTCCTGCTGGAAAATGAAGTCAACATCCCCATAAAGCTCGTCTGCAGAAGGAAGCATGAAGTGCTCCAAAATCTCTTGGTAGATGGCTGCATTGACCCTGGACTTAATGAAGCTGTGGAAACTTCACACTGGACTTCAAGCATCTTGCAGTGTGTGCCTCTCCAGTCTTCCTCCAGACTCTGCGTCCTTGGTTTCCAAATGAGATGCAAAAATTGCTCTCATCAGAAAAGAGGGCTTTGGACCACTGAGCAACAGACCAGTTCTGTTTTTCTTTAGCCCAGGTAAGACGCTTCTGACATTGTTTGTTGTTCAGGAGCGGCTTGACAAGAGGAATATGACATTTGAAGCCCGTGTCCAGAATCTGTCTGTGCGTGGTGGCCTCTTGATGCACTGACTCCAGCCTCAGTTCACTCCTTGTGGAAGTCCCCAACACTTTTGAATGGCCTTTTCCTGACATTTCCTGATATTCCTCTCCAGGCTGAGGTCATCCCTGCTGCTTGTGCACCATTTTCTTCCATACTTTTCCCTTCCACATAACTTTCTATTAATATGCTTTGATACAGCACTTTGGGAACATCCAACTTCGTTTGCAATTACCTTTTGAGGCTTTCCCTCCTTATGGAGGGTGTCAATGATGGTTTTCTGCATAACTGTCAGGTCAGCAGTCTGTCCCATGATTGTGATTCCTACTGAACCAGACTGAGAGACAATTTAAAGGCTCAGGAACCTGTTGCAGGTGTTATGGCTTAATTAGCTGATTAGAGCGGGATACTTTGAGCCTAGAATATTGAACCTTTTCACAATATTCTAATTTTCTGAGATTGAGGATTTGGGGTTTTCATGAGTTGTAAGCCATAATTATATCAATTATGATGCATCACAGCTTGAACTATCTTGCTTTGCATGTAGTGGGTCTATCTCGTATCTTAGTTTCACCTTTTAAGTTGCATTACTGAAATAAATGAACCTTTGCACGATAGTCTAATTTTTTGAGTTTCACCTGTAAGGCTCATTTACAAACAAACCATTAGCCTCCCATTTGTTAAGGACACTACAAATATATATATTTCTCTAAGTATAAGAATGTTTTTTGTTGTCTACTTGTGTCCACACACACACCTTAAGCCAAACTGGCAAAGGGATGTCCTTTTTACTCTCCCCTTTTCTGGCCAATTGTGTCACAACAAGAGGCAACAGGACTAAACAGCAGTAATAAGAACAGCCTGAAAGAAAGGAACTCAACCATGGAATGTGTAGAGAGTAAGGAAGATGGCCTTGACAAGAGACAAGCTAGATCAGTTATTAAGGTGATAACAAGAAACATACAGTTTAAGTCCAAAACAAAAGAAAGGCATGTGGAAATGGTCAGGCAGACAACTCCCTAATTCACATGAGCATAAGGGGAGATAAGAGAAGGGTTAAAGCACAGTTAGACTGGACGGCTATTATAGTTGTGGCGGCACAGTGGTTGGAATACAGAATTGCAGGCAAATTCTTCCAACTGCCAGCAGTGTGAATCTCACCAGCTCAAAGTTGACTCAGCCTTCCATCCTTCCAAGGTCGGTAAAATGTAAAGCACTATAAAGTGCTGTATAAGTCTAAGTGCTCGGGATAAATGATAGAGTCAATATTAACAGCATTTTAGCCTTCAGGTGTAGTGGATTTCTTGGTTTGGCCTACACCAAGGGGCTGACAAAATTTTAGACTTCTCCAAACTGAAGTTAGCAATTTCTGATGGCCCCATAACCAGGTTATTTTTATACCTATAGCACTTAAGGAAAATAACCACAACAGCACTCGGGATTCTGAAACAGTATTTTGCTGATCTTGTGAGAACACAGTCATGAATCACTCACAATTAATCACTACATGGCATAGTCCTTCAAAGTGTCCTTCTACTATGCATGATTATCCCACAGTCAGCTGAATGTGCAAAACGATGTGATCAGTTACTCATTGGGAACAAAAGATGGAGGGTGGAAGAGGTGTGTGTTGGGTGGGCTTCAAAATTGTTAGCAAGGGGTTCTCTTGCCCGGTTGCTGGGTGGGTGTGGCCACGATGGGCGTGGGCCTAGTCATCCTCCTGCACCAGGGCGGGGAGGGGGGATTTTTGCCCTCCATGGGCTCCAGAGGCTTTCCTTGAGCCTCCGGGAGGGCGAAAATGGCTTTCCCGGGCTCTGGAGGCTCTCTGGAAGCCAGAAACTGGCCCATTTCTGGCTTCCCTAACTTCTGGGAGGCCCGTTTTTCACCCTCTTTGAGCTTCCATGTGGGCCCTGCACTTACCTGCATCCAAAATGGGCCACCTGGGGATTCCTGGGAGGGGCAGGGTGGGGTGGGCGGGGCCAGCCAGGAGTGGGATTTGGGGGTTCTCTGAACTGCACAGAATCTTAGCTAGGGGCTCTCCCGAACCCCCGCGAGCCCCCAGTAGCCCACCACTGTGTGTGTGTGTGTGTGTGTGTTTGTGTGTTTTCTTTATGTGCATGCTTGCTATATGCAGAAGACCATCATTCTTCCATCTTGTTGTATTTAGTAATCGGTCACTTTTCGACTTACTTGATGTTTTCATGCTTTGATAACTTTTATTCTACCAACCACCTACAGCAGGGATGTCAAACTTGATTTCACTGAGGGCCATATCAGGGTTGTGTTTTACTTTGGGAGGCTGGGGTGGGCATGGCCAGATTGACGTCACTCATGTCGGGGAGCGCCTGTGGTGGCCCGAGTGTTCTGCCAGCGAAAACAGGCTCCCGAGCTCAGTTTTCTGCTGCGATGGCCTCCTGCAAACCTCTGCCAGCAAAAACGGAGCTATGTTTTCACTGGCAGAGGCACCTGAAGGCCAGACTAGGAATAATGGATGGAAACTGATCGAGGAGAGATTCAACCTGGAAATAAGGAGAAATTTTCTGACAGTGAGAACAATCAACCAATAGAACAGAAGCTGCCTTCAGAAGTTGTAGGAGCTTCATCACTGGAGGCTTTCAAGAACAGATTGGACCGCCATCTGTCAGAAATGGGGTAGGGTCTCCTGCTTGGGTGTGGAGTTGGACTAGAAGACCTACAAAGTCCCATCCAACTCTGTTATCTAATCTAATCCTAATACTCAACAACTTAAATAAGCCATGATGTCATCCTGACAACGGTAATGTGTTCAGCAAGCTATCATTACATGTACACAGAGCATACTGGGAAAAGCAAACTGGCCTTCTACAACAAGAATACATCCAAATCACTAACCTTTGGAAACAGTGAGAAGGTTTCGTTGTCAATTGTCCAGTAGTACAGAAGTTCGCCATCGTACCAGACTCTCTTTCCCACTGGCGAATTCTGTTTCGTCATTGCAAAGAGATGGCTCGGATCGCAACAATCTTTGAGAAGTTTCCTAATAGAAAGAGGAAGGAGAGAAAGTGAAACCACCATGGTAGACGTTATGATAAGGTAGCATTTGTAAGCTTTCTGGAGCACAGTCAGGCAAATTCTCAACCCAAAACTGATGGTAGGAGCAAGATCCAGATAGGTTCTTTTTATAGGATAGTGTGTGGACGCTAATCCCTCCTTCCAGAGCTGTATGAGGAGTTACATCTGCCTCTGTTTTGTCCTCTAAAGCAGTGTTTGAGGTCTGAGCTTGGCTGTTTTCTTGCAGACATTTCATTAGCCAAACTAGGTAACCTCATCAGTGCTAGCATGAAATGTCTACAAGAAAACAGCCACGTTCAGCGATCACCAAGGGCCAGTCATTTCAACCCTGAGCTTATTGGCTTCTCAAACTCAGCAACTTTAAGATCGGTGGATGTCAGCTCCCAGAATTCCCCAGCCAGCATGCTGACTGGGGGATTCTGGGAGCTGACATCCTCACATCTTAAAGCTGCTAAAATTGAGAAATGCTGATCTAAAGTTTTTTGAATGTCTGCAATCTTGAGATGGTCTTTAGCTGCCCAATATTGCCCAGGCACGTATGGATGTTATAATGGAAGTCAACTGCTGCATCGGTTTTATACTTCCGAAGTCCAAGCAGACGGAATTCTGGGAGTCCACAAGTTGCTACGGTTGGGCATCCCTGCCCTACACCATTCTTAGCTTCCCTCTGTCCCTTCTTCCTGGGGGCTCACTTCCTGATAAAGGATTGGGCAGCAGTCAGTCTCCATTTTGAGATGACTTACGAAGCTGAAATCTTCTGGTAAATAAAGGTGACCCTGCTTTGAAATAGAAACACAAAAGGCGAACCACTTGGCACTCATTCTGTCCTCATCTAAAACTCTAAGAAACTTGGAAGAGATGCCTCCAACGACCTTAGCCAATTCCTGACATCTGTGACTAAAGGGATGATTAATTCATCATGCAGCTGATACATCCTTCCCTTCTTTCTTTTTTTTTCTTTTTGCTTCTAAGCCTTCTTAGTGTCATATGTTTCCTAAAAATGGATTGCATTAAACCACCTGGAGATCACAAAAATAATACTGAAGAAGGAGATTCATAGGCAGAAATTTGGATCACGTGGGCTTAGGGCTAAGGAGGGGAGAATTGCAAAATGATCCAACCTCATAATGCTTCGGGGCAGAAGACAGGAGTCCTACCTAATGCTGATTTATACTCTCAACAACATTTCCTGAAAGAAAGATTCATCGACTTCAGTGGGATTGACTCTTAGTCTAAGTGGGCACAAGATGTCCTTCCTTGAAGGTGAATCCTGCAACACAGTATTTAGATTCATGCAATCATGTCAAAGAATGATTAAGGGAGTACGCAAAGATTGGTGTATTTTTCTGGGTTAATATTTTGTACAGATCTGGTTTACCCTTGAGGCATTGTGTAAACCAGTTGTATTTAATAAATAAGTTAAGTATGAGGTATGAATACAGCTATGCAATAGGTCCCCAGATTCATATGAGCACTGTGGTAGATTAGCTAATAGTCAGGTTGCCTAGAATTCAGCAAGATGAGTATGGAATTCCTGTATTTTTTTTTCATCTCTCTCTCTCTCTCCCCCTTTCTCACACATACCCACATAAACTGCCGCTTGGAAAGTTCCCTTAGCTTTAGGTAGCCCTTGTCAATTTTACCGCCATAATTAAAACTCAAAACTCCTATATATATTCTGAGGATTGCCAATAGCAACTTGTCTATTCCCATCTTCCTGCTTAGCCAAATATTCACTGCATACACCAGCCTTGGTAGTTTAGAATAAAGGTATTTCCAATTGCAAGACATCTCCAACAGGGGCCAATCAAAGGATTCCAGAGAGGTGTATGAACTGGGACTAGAGGTAATGATGAGATAGTATTAAATCCTTTCTATAACCCTGTAATCCCTTACAGACCAATATAACCCACAATTTCTCCCTTTTCTGTGCTGGTTAGGCTGCACCTATGCAATTGCATCCAATTATGGGCGCTGCATTTTGGCAGGACTTCAACCTGAGCATGCATAAAGGAGAACATTTAAGAGGATCAGGAGCCGGGAGTCAAAAATGTACAATGTTGGATGTACCGGATGTGCTTAGCCTGGAGATGGGAAGTTTGCTAAGAGACAGGGCATCTCTTTTCAAATATGTGAAGGCATTAAAAGACAAGGCAGAATTGTTCAGAACGATTCCAGAAAACAGGATAAGGAACAGATTTAACCAGAGCGGACACCGAGAAGAATTTTCTGACATCACCTTGGAAGGCGGCGATACTCCTCAGATGGGGATGTTGAAAGAGACATATTAAGGATAGTCATTAATTAGGCTCAGCCAAAGAATGTCATAATCTAACCAAAGTTCAACTCATTCCAGGTAGTCCTTCACTTACAGTCACAACTGAGCCCAAAATTTCTGCTGCTAAGCGAAAAATTTGTTGAGTGAGTTTTGCCCCCTTTTACGACATTTCTTGCCACAGTTGTTAACTGAACCACTTTCAGTTGTTAAGTAAGTAAACATGGTTGTTACATGACTCTGGTTTCTCCATTGACATTGCTTGTCAGGAGATTGCAAAAGGGGATCAAATGATCCCGGGACACTGCAACCGTCATAAACACGAGTCAGTTGCCAAGCGTCTGAATTTGATCCCATGACCATGGGGATGATGCAATGGTCATAAATGTGAAAAACGGTCACTGCCGCTGTAACTTTGAAAAATCATTAAATGAACTATTTGCCAATTCAGGAACTACCTGTCTTTGTTTTCACCATACAGACAGAATCTTTGCCAGACTAAACTGGCTATACTAGTCTAATCCTGATGGATATACACTTGGAGAGGCTATCCTAAATCCCTTTCTCTTTCATCCAGTTCTAGGATGTGCTGCCTCTTATTTTCCTGCCTGTCCCTGGTAGGTGTTGTCCCCTTCCTAAGAACCTGCTGCATTACTCTAATCCAGGAGTGTCAAACTTGATTTCATTCAGGGTTGTGTTTGACCTAAAGGGGTCAGGGTGGGCGTGGCCATCTCGACATCACTCGTGTTGGGGGCGCCTGTATTGGCCCGAGTGCTTTGCCAGTGAAAATGGGCTCCCGAGCTCCGTTTTTGGCTGCCACAGTCTCCTGCAAGCGGCCCTCCCAAGCTCTGTTTTCACTAGCAGAGAGTTGCAGGAGGCTGTGGCAGCCGAAAACGGAGTTTGGGAGCCCGTTTTCGCTGGCAGAAGCACCGTGGGCCAGTCCTTCGCTGTTTCTAGGGCAGCCGCACGGGCCAGATCTAAGTATCCTGCAGGCTTAATCTGGCCCCCAGGCCCTGAGTTTGATACCCCTGTTCTAGTTCATCACCCCACTCCCCTTTCATAGATACAATCCACTATCTGACAAAGTAAGTCCCCGCGGATTTTACTTTGTTTGTCATTGCCGAACACAGAAAGTGTTAGCTATCTCTGTCTCGATGCAATTGAGCCAGTGCTGTCCGGAGAAATTTCTGTGGTCATGTGGCCAGCATGATGTCAAAGAGTGCTGTCATTTTCCCACTGAAGTGGTATCTATTTATCTACTCATATTTGTATGCTTTCAAACTGCTAGGTAGGCAGAGGCTTGGGTGAGGACAGCTTACCCAGTCATGTGGAGCTCAAGTCTTGAACCTGGGCTGCCAGCTTTCCAGCTGACAAGCCCAGTGTCTTAACCACTGTGCCATCACACCATCCCACTATAGGAAGTTCAAAAATGAATTTTCATTGTCAACTCACAAATATTTATCTGGTATTTTAGAGTTGCCAGCAGAACGGGAGTGGGGGAACTAGTGCATTCTTTAGATAATTTCTAGGCAACCGAAGCTTTTGGCGTGCAAGATTATTACTGGAGAGCATGATTGATGACTCTTGGCTACGGATGTGTCCCATTGGAGAATATACATCCAGGAGGTGGAGGGAAGACCAGGGTCAAGGATGAAATGAATGATGTGGCTCAGAGTCGGCTGCACCCAGGTATGTTCACTCCTAATAAATCTTGGTGGGTTTTTTTTTTTTAAACTCTGAGATGCAGCTAGAGACTCATGATTTGAATAGTGTTGATGCTGGAGCGCTGACATTCATATTACTTGGACTAGATGATCCCCAAAGTATCTTACAATACTTAAATTCTATAATTCTATAATTCACCAGAAATGCTGTAACTGATTTTCAGTTTAATGCATTTCATTAAACTAAACATTAACCAGACTTGAATGATCATATTTGGTTTGTTCCTGTCTACCTCCCCCTTGTAGTTCAGGGATGCAGCATCCCTTCTTGCTTTCTTGGGTCTCCACAGCTGGCCAATCAGATGATTAAGGTGGTTTTGTGGGGGATGTCTTTAGACAGAAATTGCACCCAAAATGGACTTTCCATATTGTTCAAGAGAATCAGCTACTGTGTTTGTCAACCTTAGCTAGTTTAAAAACGTGTGGATTTCAATTTTCAGAATTCCCCAGCTTGCATAGCTGGCTGGCACGTTCTGGGAGTTGAAATCCACACATCTTAAAGTTGCTAAGGTTGAGGGACACTTGGACTAGGTCTTCCTGCATTCTCTTGCCAACCGTGTGTGGGATTAACCGATGTGCAGCCAAGTATATTTATGACATTTGGGGCCTGTGAAGACCTCTTGGAGCAGTGTTGGTTGCACAGTGCAGTTATAGTGGAAAGACCAATTATTCTACCTGGCCACACCTAAAGCACTTAATGTTGACATGGAACCAGCAAGGTTTGATTATTTCTAAAAACCGATAGCCTTCTCACAGCATTTGCCCCTGTTCTTCCCGGCAATGACTCATTTGCAACCACAGGGAAATCTACTTTGTCCTGCCCAGTCTAAGATGCCCAGCACAGAGTTTTAACCAGAGTATGCTTCCAGCTCCAAGGTTATGGAATGGAGTGTGTGGAGGACCCTGGGGGACAAGGGAAAGAGCTGCTGCCTAGGAAAGTTGAATAAGTGTGGGACCCGTCCTTGC